GTGCACCCGCAGCAGCAGCAGCAGCAGCAGCAGCAGCTGCTGCTGCTGCTGCTGCTGCTGCCACACGCGTCCTAACACCACTACAGCCCGGCGCTGCGAAGGAGAAGATGCCCGAAGCAATGAGCATCGAGGCTTTCAATTTCTGCTGCTGCTGCTGCTGCTGCTGCTGCCTTGACCTACTGCTGTGGGAGCCGTGCTGCTGCTGTGCTGCTGCTGCTAGTGCTGCGTTAATTGCTGCTGCAGCTGCAGCTGCTTCAAATATTTATGCACATTAGAAGAAAAGAAATTTACAGCAGAAGGCTGCAGACTCTAACACCAGCGTCTTGCTGCTGCATGCAGCAGCAGCAGCAGCAGCACTCGGACCAGACAGACCGGGGTGACCCACAGCAGCAGCAGCAGCAGCAACAGCAGCAGCGAGAGCAGCAGCAGCTAGAATTTGTGCAGAAACTGCAGCAGCAGCAGATGCGTTTAGTTTCCTCTTGGCGTTTAATCTGCCTACGTTCTGTTGCGGAGCCTCGTGCTGCTGCTAGTGCTGCACGCTGCTGCTGCTAGTGCCGCTGCTGCTGCAGCAGCAGCAGCTGCTGCTGTTGCAGTGTTGCTAGACACACTGGTGTGGGGCCGGGTTGTCTCTCTCCCTGGGCCGCGACCCCTTCGAACCAGCAGCCTCAGCAGGGACAGCAGCAGCGGCAGCAGCAGCAGCTGCTGCTGCTGCTGTTGTTGATGCTGACCGTGCTGCTGCTGCTGCTGCTGCTGATATTACCCTTGAACAAATTGCCTCAGCCAAGGCCCTGACACACATGGAGAAGCAGCAGAGCAGCGAGCTGCAGCGCAGGCAGATGCGGCGTCCCCAGCAGCAGCAGCAGCAGCAGCAGCGCCCGCTGCAGCAGCAGCAGCAGGGAGCTCAGGGTTTGAATGATCAGAATGGAGGCCTACCGAACACTTGCCCAACAGTGCAGCAGCAGCAACAGCAGCAGCAGCAGCAGCAACAGCAGCAGGCGCCGCGGCAGCCGCAGCCGCCGCCACCGCAGCAGCAGCCGCAGCAGCAGCAAATAAGGCAAGGCGACCTCGTACGAAGGCCCCACTCCGCCTATCCACTCGAGCAGCAGCACCGGCAGCGGCAGCAGCAGCAGCAGCAGCAGCAGCAGCAGCAACCGCAGCAGCTCGAACAGCAGCCGCGACGTCAGAAGCACAAGCAGCAGCAGCAGAAACCGCAGCAAACTGTGCAGCAAAATCAGCATGCGCAGCAAAATCAGGATGTGCAGCAGCAGCAACAACAACAGCGGTTTCGTCAGCAGCAAACAACGCAGCAGCTGCAGCGGGAGGAATGGAGGCCCCGCAGCGTGCCGGTGAGGGCTGTGGAGCAGCAGCAGCAACAGCAGCAGCAGCAGCAGCAGCACCAGAGGCAGCAGCAGCAGCAGCAGGAGCACCGGCAGCAGCAATTCGAAGAGCAGCAGCAGCAGGAGAAACAGCACAAGCGAGCGCAGCAACGAAGGGACCGCACACAGAAAATGCTGCAGCAGAAGCAGGAAGACAGACAGCAGCAGCAACAGCAGCAACAGCAGCAGCAGCAGCAACTGCAACAGCAGCAGCAGCAGGTAGAGCAGCGGAATCGTATTCACCAGAGGGAATATGAGACACAGAAGAGGCAGGAGCAGCCGCAGCAACGGCAGCAGCATCAGCAACAGCAGCAGCAGCAGGAGAAGCAGCAGCGGCGGCCAATGCAGCAGCAGCAGCACCGGGCAGCACCTTGGCATCGGCAGCAGCAGCAGCAGCAGCAGCAGCAGCCACAGCAGCATGAAAAGCAGCAGCCCTGGCAGCAGGATGAGCGGCAGCAGAAGCAGCAACAGCAGCAGCAGCAGCAGCAGCAGCAGAAGCAAGTAATTAACTTCGTAGAAGCTACTGCAGCAGAGGACGGAGCAGAGTGCAGCAACAAACAGCCGCCCAATCTACACCTGCGAAGGCGTCTGGTTACGTGGTTCCTGCTGCCTCATGGACATCAGGTGCTGCTGCTGCTGCTGCTGCTGCTATGCTGCTGCTGCTGTGTGGTTGCTGCTGCTGCAGTGTGGTTGCTGCTGCTGCTGCGCTTTCTTTGTCTCGCCTCCGCAACAGCAGCAATTAGTTAAATATCTATTAAACATTAGCATTAGCAGCAACGACAGCAACAGAAGCAGCAACAACAGCACCACCAGCAGCAGTAGCTGCAGCACTGGCCGTAGCTCTAGCAGCAGTAGCAGCAACAGCAGCAACACTACCAGCAACACTAGCAGCGACAATAGCAGCAACGGCATCAGCAACAGCAGCAGCACTAACAGGAACAGCAGCAGCAGCACTAGCAACAGCAGCAATAGCCGCACTAGCAACAGCAGCACTAGCAGCAGCAGCAGCACTATCAACAGCAGCAATAGCAGCAATAGCAGCAACAGCAGCAACAGATGCCGCAGCACTAGCAGCAGCAGCAGCAAGCGTGTGATGTGTGTGCTTATGTGTATGATTAGGTTGCTGCGCTATATTGCTGCTGCATGCAACCACTCTCCTTTTTGCTGCCCGTTGATGCTGCAAGCAGACCGCTGCTGCAGCCTCTGGTGCAGCGCAGCAGCATAAGTAAGAAGGTTGATTTGCTGCAGCTGCTGCAGCAGGGGCATCGCGCAGTGCCGCAGCAGCAGCTGCTGCATCTGCTGCGAGACATCTCGCAGCCTTCCTCAGGCTTTACTCCTTTGCTTCTTTATAATCCACACAGAGAAGTTGTAGACTTCGCCCTTAGAGTAAGCTGCTGGTGCTGCTGCTGCTGCTGCTGCTGCTGCTGCTCTTGACGCTGCTGCTGCTGCTGATGATTATGCTGCTGCTGGTGCTGCTGCCAACGGTGTTGCTGTATTTATTCAGAGGTATAATCCTTGCTGCAGTCTTCACGGTGTCCCGCTGCTGCTGCTGCTGCTGCTGCTGCTCCCACTGCTGCTGCTGCTGCTGCTGCTGCTGCAGGTGGTGCTGCTGTTTTGCAGGGTTTGTTTGATGACAACCCCGCGATGCCCTCTGAGTTCTGCTGCTCGCATAGATGCAGAGATGAAGGACTTCTTAATTGTTGGTTTGCTGCTGGAGAGGCTGCAGCAGCAGCAGCAGCAGCTCGACTCGCTGCAGCAGCAAGCTCTATGGAGTATTGTTAAAATTGCAGCAGAAAGAAAACGAGTGCTCAAGTCCTTTGCTGACAGATTTACGTGAGCAGCAGCAGCAGCAGCAGCAGCAGCAGCAACAGCAGCAATTATTCACCTAATAATAGTCTTATATCCCTTTGTTATTATAATTTATGATTATAATAATTTTAATTATATATTATTATATTTTGTTTTGTTATATGTTGTTGCTGCTGCTTCTGTTGCTGCTGCTGCTTCCTTTGCTGCTCCTGCTTCTGCTTCTGCTGCTGCTGCTGCTGCTGCTGCTGCAGGTTGTTTGCATTGAGCGCGAGCCCGAGCGACAAGCAAACATCTGAGTTGCAGTTGGCGAGCAGCAGCAGCTGGAGAGACAGTGGAGCAGCAGCAGCAAGAACAGCAGCAGCAGCAAGAACAGCAGCAACAGCAAGAACAGCAGCAGCAGCGGATGCCCCCCGCAGCGAGTTGCTGTCAGAGAAGCGGCTGCAGCAGCTTGCAGATTCCCTGGCCCTGCAGCAGCACCATATAGACGCCCTCGTTCATGTAAACCCTAAACCCTAAACCCTAAACCCTAAACCCTAGACCTGATATGTGAGAAGGCGGCTGTTGGAGTTTGCTTTTTCTTCTTGCTTAGAGCTTAGGATTTAGATGGTTTAGGGTTTAGGGTTTAG